TCTCGATGAATTTTAAAGCTATCTTGATGGCATAATATTCAAAAGAAAGCTTAGATCATAAGCTTTCTTTTGAATATTAAATCGTTAAGATAGCTTTAAATTTCATCGAGATATGAACTGTAAAAGTTAAGGCATTGGGGGGTTTTTTCAAATGTAGATTTGCTTGATTTCTATTGACGGCTGCCCAAATGCTCCAGAATATTATGATTACTTGCATTAGACACCCCAATAAGTGATGTATTCAAAATAATATGAATTCAAATCAATGAGAAATGGTACAATATCTTAATTGACATTACACAGCACTATAAAACAAAAAAAAATCGTATTATAGATTATTTTTAAAAATCCGAAACACCCATTGACTTTTAGGATTTTTCCAATAATCCATTACAACCAATAATTTCGTGAGTCATTTTATTTGTATGTTTTTGATTCACTTAAGATCCTGACTTGGATCATTATATTCATGTAGGATTAATACGAAAAATAGTGGTTGAAAGTCAATTTCAGGAAGTGGATATAGAATTGAATGTTTGAAAGTGATTGTCAATGATATAAATGTCTGAGAAATAACTCTCAAGGAGATGATATGTCGAATAAAAGAAAATAAACGTGAGGCAGGTTTTTGTCAAGGAATTGATTTTGTCAGGAAATGGTTGTTAGAAAATAAATTTCGGGGAGTCTGTCAGGAAAATGAATGTCGGGAAGGTGTCTTTCTTTTGTCGGAAATAATATGGAATCCGAATACTATCTAGCCTTGTAAATATATCTGGATGAAGATTACAGTACTTTTATTATGCTGTGATCACTATTTCTTAAATACATTAGAATAATCTGCACTGTTACCTGTACTACAATTATATTTAATAATCAATATTGAAATTGTGGGCTAAAAATTTTAATTTATTATACACAAAGTTTCGCTTGTTAATAAGTTACTATAATCTATTTGTTTTCTTAAATAATTTATTTAAACAAGTTATTTTACATTCAAATAAGTAAATTTATGAATAAATATCAGGATTGATAATTTCTTCTTCTGCAGCCTTTTTATAACAGTCAAATGCCTTTTCTTCATCAATTTTAGTTCCTATTCCTAAATTATAACATTCACCAAGTTGCCCATATGCTTTTAAATATCCACCTTTAATTGATTCTTGATATAAATCAAAAGCCTTTTTTTCATTTATAGTAGTTCCTTCACCATATTGATAATTAGTTGCAAGGTTATATTTTCCTATGGCTAAACCTTTTTTAGCAGCTTTTTGATAACATTCAAACGCTTTTTCAAAATTAACTTCAGTTCCTATGCCATTTGTATAACAATATCCAAGATTATTAAATGCATCTATATAACCACCTTCAGCAGATTTCTGATAAGATTCGAAAGCTTTCGTCTTATTCATTTCAGTTCCTTTTCCATAACGATAATTGAAAGCCAGATTATATTGACCTACAGCAAACCCACCTTTGGCAACTTTTTGAAAACATTCAAAAGACTTCTTTTCATCCATTTTAGTTCCTTTACCTTCAGAATAACAAACACCAAGAATATTATACGCTTCAATATAACCACCTTTAGCAGATTTTTGACCAAGCTCAAAAGCCTTCTTTTCATCTTTTGAAATCCATTTTCCACTATAACAACATAAAGCGAGAATATGTTGAACTATAGAACTTATTTGATTATTCAAACACCAATTAATGACATCATTCGGTTTTTGTTGTTTCTCTAAAAAAAAGAGTTCCATTGAATCAAAAATCATAGTAATGTTTTTTCCTTTCTTTTTTTCTTTAATATATAAATTACACAATTCTTTAGTGATTTTATAAAATTTTAGGGAGCCACTGTTCATTTCGGGAATTTTCAATTTTTCGAGCCTTTTCACAATCTCTTGTATATTAGGTCGTTTTTTTGGGTTATCTTGCCAACAATCTAATAATAAAGTTAGGCTTATAAGATTAATGATTTTACATAATCAAATATTGTAATTTTATATGAGTGTTGCCAATGAAAGAGATTTCAAGCTTTCAAGGTTATCTTTTATTATTTAACTCATGAAAATTCAATAGACGGCATAAATGACATGTAACTACAAGTAAAAATACTCCGATCAAAATATAAAGATCACGAGGTATTAATCAAAATACCCTGATCCGTCGGGAAACCTCGCCTCTGCTAATAATCAACTGCTTGAAATATTTTTATTGCTTATGTAGCCATCAGGGCTAAATCCAGTAAATACATATCTTTTTTTATTCCCCAAAAAGCGAGAATAAGAGGAGGTAAATCCGGTTAATTGACTCGGGCCCTCATATGACCGAAGATCTACAGGTTTATTTCCCCGTAGTGGAAATAAGGTTGTTTTTGGGATATTTGAAAATTGATAACCGAATCGAGATGTCGACCAACGTTATCAACTTATTGATTCCGACTCAGAAGCTATCGATTCGGCCATCAAAAATTTTTCAAATGCCCAAAAATAACGGAAACAACTGTAAGTACTATTTTACTCACCGGATTTTTTTCGGCTCCAATAAGAGCCGAAGAGAAAAATCCGGGAATAAATGTGCTATTCTTCCGTTTTATTAATTGTTGGCCGGAGGCTATTTCCTTACAGAGTTTAAATTAAGTTGTCCCCAAAAATAGTGAAAATCTCGTAATCTACAATTAGTCAACAGGGAATAGCGACTTATAATCATTATTCTGGTTAGTGAAAAGTACGAGTTTCCAAGAACGTTTGTTATTTCCCGGTTTACTGAGGAAATAACAAGTATTGCTAAAAACTAGTTTTCACTAATCAAAGTAATGATTATAAGTCGTAAAACTCCGTCGTGTGATCATATAAAAAAGTGGGATAATAAATAATAAATTGAAAGCCTGAATGAAGTATCTTTTCCCTTGACAATTCTCATATGATACCATATTGTACATACCAATATATAAAGCAATATAAGCCATTTGAGCTTTTTCTATAAACTCTACCCTGGCATCATTTAGCATGTCTATAGTTAACTCCGAAAGTTGGCATATTTCTTTGGGAGGCTTAAAAGGGGGACGGTTTTTAGATATTTCCCACATAAGTACACCTAACATATATATATCAGTTTTTTTTGTTACACTGTACGATTCTTCATTTTGAAAATGGGTCATATTTGGTCCAAAGTCTATAAATTTGATATTATTTTCATGGATAAAAATATTATTCGAGTGCTATAAATATTAATAAAAAAAAGTAATTATTAATTATTACAAAAAAAAAAGAAAAAAAAAGAAATTAATGATTGATATGCAATTACAAGATTTCCGTGTATAATTTCATTTTCATGCATAAACTTAATTGCATCAGCAAGCTGTTGTGCAAGATCTAATTTATGCGCCCAATTAAGCTTATCAAAATTATTTTGTAAATAGGTTTTCAATATTCCACTATCATGAAACTTGAGGGCTAGAATGTATCGAGGTCTACAACTATCTAAAAAATAGTAATAAGATGAATACATATTGTTCATGAAAGGTATGGGTTATAAACGGATTTTATGTAACAATCTTATGCAAAATATTTTAGAAGGATCAACACGATCCATCTGAAAACCCAACATAAATCACGGGATTGATCTTTTATTCAAAACTCTCATGGCATTGCTTTAGGGCTGTATACCAAATTTCCGTGAATTATAAAAAAAAAAGATTCGATTCTTTATATTCCAGTCTTCACAATTGTAACATTCAATAATTTAATCTGTATTAACAAATAAATACAAGGTTATCTATTTAAAACTGTACTTACTTTCATTATCGGTACCGTTATAAAACATAATAATACTATTTTGTTGCGATTTAAACTGAATACAAATAAAAGTCAGCAAAAGATAATAATTTAACATTTATATAAAATAAATATTAAAATCTACCTCGTTTATAATTCCCTCAATAATGATTGCAATATTATAATTTTTATATGGTTTTAAAGGAACGTCTAAGCTAGAACGTCTTGTAATTACATGAAAAACTTTTTTAAAAGTCTCGAATCCGGTAAATTGAGTATTAGTAAATGTTGTATATCGTTTGACACATTTGTTGTGAAGATTTCTTTCTACTCGCTCAAAAAATAAACCTTTTGGCGTATTGGACGAAACTTTGTTAAGGATAGGCATTTTTGACAGAATTCGTACGTAATATAGATTCGAGTGTGAAATCAGTAATTGAGGCTATACACTAATTTTAACTTGTTTCTTTGTTCATTAATGCATTAAAATGTAACTGCCGATCGGCGCACAACACCCTATTAAGTACTAGCGTTAGTGAGATCATGCCATAATACGTATCTTGTGATTTTTACTTATTTAAAATCTTTACAATTGGTGGCTTAAACCAATTTTGGATCCACAGAATTTTCCATCGTATATTCTGTATTAGCATCACCTGTCAACCAATTGCTGCGTCCTGTACGTATAACTGTATAATGATGCCAAATGGGTCTATTCACATCTTGGAATTTCAAATTGTTCATAAAAAAATGCGAAAAGTTTACTAATGTACTATGTAAAAATACTAAATTGACGGTGTTTTTTGCAGATCTTTCCATTTTAGTAACACCTCTACAGAAATTTAAGTAGGAAAACGGATATCTCTATACAGTATTTTTTGAATATATTTGAATGATGTATCGATATGTTTTAATATGTTTGAGAAAGTTATATATCTGGATCCTATATCCGAATATACATTCGTTTTACCGAAGTGAATATTTGAATATGAATAGTTTAGTGATAAAAAAAAGTTTAGATAGTAAAATTTAAATTTGTAAACGTTTACCATTACACTAGTCGTTTATTTCATTCTTGTACATCTAAATCAACTTTTATCAGTTCTAAATAACATATGCTGTAATGAAATTTTAAGTAAACTTGGCCAATTTTAGGCTCGCCGTTGGTCATTTTTTGATCTGTGATCGTTTTTTAATCGTTTACTTATTTTCGTGGATAATCAAACTTTTAAAAAAGAAAGTGAGTTCAATCGTTCGAGTTTTGATTATCACGGCTTTAGAAATTAATATAACTTAGAACAAATTTCAATGGTGCACAATCCTATCATAATATATTACTCAAGATGCAGACTTTTATTCTTGGCCAAAAAAGATTTTGGTCTAAACACATTACTCGCTCTTGCTGTTAATTTAAATGATGCATTTTTAAAAGGCAATAACAAACCTTTTGTGAAAGTGCAGAATTAGTAAAAGTCTTGTATTTCAATATGCTTTGCGTGTATATTCAAGATAATTCAAGGTACATTTTCTAAAATAGTCATCTAGAAAATTTTAAATTATAATTTAAGTATGGTATGTGTCACGGAGTTACCCAAACTACCGTGTATTTGTGGGTCTATACTATCAATTTACACTCGCTTGGCCTATCAACGATGACTGGTGTATCGTACCAGATACTACCACCAATATGATCACTAAGATACAGTTTATTCACTAAGAATACTTTA